AATTTAACTTGAACTATTTTTCACACAAAATGTGGAGGGAGCGAAGTCGCTTTGAGCGCGCGCGTGTGCCGACACATTTCATCAGTTGGAAATTCACACACACACACACACACTACAACAACTGGCCAGAGTCGAAAATAAAATGAAAAAAAGATGCCGAGGGAAATGTTTGATTTAGTCACGTACCCGATTACTTGGCGTTGGCTCATTTTGCTTAGATTCACATTTCGAGAAAAAAAGAGCCATCAGAACGTTAACTTCAAATATTAGTTTCCACTTCCATTTTCATTTTTTTTTTCTCGTCTCTCAGCATTTCAGGATGGTACAACTTTCAACTATCGATTCTCAATAAGGAATAATCCTTATACACTAAGCTAATCGATCACTGACCAGAATTAGATAGAGTGAAAGTGTGAGAGTCATAGCCAATTCGGCAAAGTCAAAACTTGCAATATCAACAAACATCTTCAAACATGTGTGCACTCCAACCCATTCAAAATGGATGGCCAAAAGCATTTAATTAAATAGTCAGAGTGAAATTGATCTGAATGTTATTCTATTCGGCATTCGAATGAGATATGTCTTAGTATTGGGCCAAATTTTCGGTGAACAAGCAAACTGTCCTAAATAAATATTTAAAAGTGACCGTTATGTTAGGAATCATACAAATACGAAATCCACAGTCCGAAACAAAGTAGTAAAAAAAAAACGAAGCAAAACAAAGCAAATGCGTGGAAAGAGAAAATGAAAAACAATTCAAGTCGATTGATTCGACTATTTTCGATCGATTGCATTCCAAATAATCATATTTGTTTTATCATATCCGATGAATTGTTTGTTGTGTGCGCAAAGAGAATGTAGACTCTTTAATTTTTATAAAGCCTATTAAAAAATGAAAATATGAATATTCGTTGGTAATCGAAGTGCTTTTAAATTGATAAATGCTTTATATCAAGTTTTTTAATTGGAAAATGCGATACTATATCTCTCTCTCTCTCTCTCTCTCTTTTTCTCTCTTCTCTTGCGCTCTACTGAAAAGTGATAATTAACAAACAAAAATTAAATTTAATAATTAAAACTCAACAATGAGAAAGTCAAATAGAAATGAGCAAGGGAGAAAGTGAGTCAGACAGAGACAGAGAGAGAAAGATAGACGAAAAATTGCAATGCCATTTGAATGAAAATGCGCTCGATTATGTTGTGTCAACACACAATCCAAAGTGACAGCGTCAACATGCCAGAGCAAAATATCAAATGGAAACGTTTCAGTTTGAAGCAAATTTGGTCGGTGGTGGAGTTTGCATTAATTTCATTGCTTAAGTCAATTCAGTGATTTTCCCACCAACAATATAATGTTCACACTTTGCGACGACCACTCTACATATATCATAGTTATGCGTGATTTTTTTTTGCTATGTTGTTCGTGCCGTCTGTTTCTTTCTCCGTTGTTATTGTGTGCTTTTTTTTTTAATTTTGACGTCAACTTTGGCGTTAAAACTACCAAATAAATTAAATAGCAGAGCAATGGAATTATTTCCGAACCAATTTAAAATAATCAGAAAAAGTGGCGGCAAAATTGAACATGAATACATATAATATATATGTATAATTCTTCAGTATGAACCATATTTTGACAATATCACTCTTGCTTCATCTAGCACTTGCTCAGTCAGAACGCAACTGGGTACACTGCATTATAGAGACAATCTTTGTGATTGACGATGGATTTCGGAAACAACAACAAAAACCAAAAAAACAAAACCAAGAATCCAATGCAAACATAAACGCAAAACCCATAAAAACACAAGTGACGTATAAAAATAACGAATGTGACACGCATAATATTATGTAAATCATTTTTATTTCATCAGATTATTTTTATTTACATGCAACATGGTAGTAGCGGCGGCAACAGCACTACGTCACATAGAATATTGTTTACAAGTGGATTGTCTTTGCTTGAGAGCGACAAACATTTGGTACGCCCTGAGCACACACACAGGGACACACACACGCTGATGCCACCATGCAAACTAATAATGAAGATATTACATGATCTCTCTCTCTCTCTCTCTCTCTCTCTCTCTCTCTCATACTTCCTGATGAGAATTTCCCATTTTATTTGGTATTTTCATAATATCAGTACGTTTTTTTTCCTTTCAGTTAGAATTCAAAGAGAATACGTGAACACTCTATGGTTGGTTTTCCAATATCAGCACAGAGTATAGAGGGTCAGTGCTTTTTGACAGGACTGGCGGTTAATAATGCGCAAATAAAATGTCACAATACATCACTCTTGTCCTTATTAATTTTCAAATTAAATGTGCCAACGCTTTTTGTCTGTGAATATTCCATATTGAATAACATTGAACGCGTTTCCATTCGAGGACAATGTCCATGACCACATACAAACACACACAAACACACACACACACATCCATCCATCCATCCATCCATCCATCCATCCATCCATCCAGACGAAAAGTCTCACAAAATACGAAAGCCATTGAATTGGCAAATGATCACCGAACGTGCTATCAACGCATGAAAAAAAACGGGTTCCACTGCATCTTTTTGAGTGAACGAATTTATCAAATTAATGATTGAAGCTAATCAAATTTTGCTGACGGAACGATGGTGATACAGTAGAAAATGTCCATGTAAAATGGAGCTGACGGAGACAAGAGGCCAAAGTGAGAAATTACAACTTCTGTAAATAAATTACAACTTTCTCAATAAGTTTCGATTTAATTAAATTCATTGATTTGTCTGCACAGATGGAACCCTCATACGGTGTGCTTTGATGAGATGTTCAGAGCGTTGCTTGTGTTGTGCTTTTGTGTTTTCTGTATCACAGCATCACCCCATGCTATGGCTCAAAAGAAGTTACGATGCAAATCACTAACGTAAACACATCAGAATACAAGACAATGGGCAAAGAGCCGAGGAAAAATCTACAGGCGATATGGCATCACATTTTTGTGGCTCAATCCAACTTCCATTTTCGTAAATTTATTTTAGGGCAACAATCGTTTTTTTTCTAGTTAATGCTTTGTTCTCTCCCTCAAAATGTTTTCGCACTCGATAAAATTGAGACTCTCGAGGAAAATGCTTGGTAATTCGATGGACAAAAGCATGAAAAACGTACGAACAATTTGTTCTTGTTTAAACACACATCAGAAATCACACGTTTGAATACAGCGGGTAAAAGTGTACAATGTAATACCTACCGAGACACACACACACACATACACACACACACACACACACACACATATACATCCAGCAACAATGCCACCGAGTGAAAAAAGTAAGAAAACGGTAGAAAACGAAAACGAAAACGGAGCGCACAAAAGTAAAACGGAACGGAACGTGTACAAATTACAGGCATTCGAACACTTGGTGTCGGCTCGCTCATAGTCATCTCACACCGTAAAAAACAACGAAAATGTTTTTCCTTGCGTTCAACGTAGTACGACAAATTTTTGGGTTCTTTTATCGAAAAGCGACTGTGAAAAAATATGCTTTTCAACCACTTTCGACATTTTCGAAATGTTTGGCAAACGAACGGTCTCTCAGTTTGCTAATTTTCCGGAACCAACAGCCTTTGATTGTAACTGAGCCATGGGCGATATGCGTCGCTGAAACAACTGATAACGATTAACTCAATAAGTTTAGCCTTAAGTGTTAAACCGTTGAATTCGAAGTAGGAAATGCTTCGATACTTTTTCGACAATTGAATAAAAATAAGTACATGTTTTTAGATTATTTTAAAAAATGAATTGTGTGTATTGGCGTATGTGCAGTGCACCTTCGACCGATTTGCACAACAACGTCGATCTAATCCCCAAATGTTTGCAATTGATACTTGTTGATCCCTCTCCTTCTCTTCCGATGTTGAAACAGCCGACAGCTAAGTTTCGGATTGCTGAAATTTTTGGACGGAGGAAAAAAACCGCATGTAAACTGAAGCATTGTATGCGAATGTGGGGATACAGTGGTATACGGTAAATCAGTCGTGAGGTGGAAGCAAATATGAGAAATTGATGAGCAAGAACCGTTTTCTCATATCTACTATAGCATTGAATTGAATCACCCAGTGGGATCATTGGTACACAATTTTTCTCATTTTGATCCAGATACAAAAATCGCTTGCATTGTTTCAGTCCGGTGAAGTGAACGAGCGCGGCCTCTCAATTTCAACATTCCGAGAGATTAGGCGCTAAGAAACATGTCTCGTGATGAAAAATGTACGTTTTGGTTTAGATTTAAATTGTTTCGAATGCCCACTCTCGCAGCAAAAGGCAAACAGAGAGAGAGAGAGAGAGAGAGAGAGAGAGAGAGAGAGAGAGAGAGAGCTTCTCTGAAATTGTGTTAAATATCCCAAAAAAGAAAGATCTGACTTCAAACAGTGGCCAATTTGTGATTCTCAAAAAGGTTTTTCTCTCTGTCTCTGTCTTTATCTTTCTCGGAATAATCAGTTTGAATATAGATTTATATCGGTGTTCGTATCGATTCACCGAATTTGAAAAATGACATTTTTGAAAAATCACTCGACATTTTCGGGCCGAACTAAGTGAGCCAAAATTTACCGTACCGTTTCATTTGATTATGTATCCAAGAAAAAAAACAGAGTCGCGAACTCAATTCAAACTGAACGAAAGCAAACCAATGTGATTCGAGTTAAGCGGATGTAGGTACACAGTATTCCAATTCTCAATCGGGATAAAGGGAACGCATGTACACATTGTGTACACTGAACAACTTCGGTGCGTTCGTATAGGAGAACATAACGTAACTGTTACTGCTGCTGCTGCTGCTGCTGCTGCTGCTGCTGCTGCTGCTACACTGTACTGTGCTGTGTATTGTTGCTGCTGCTGGATCCTACGAAGCCGAATGTGTATGCTCGAAGCGAACAACGGCCAAAGCTGTGCAGCACCATCAAATGAAATGTTCATTCAGTATTCAAATAGCGGCAGTGTTCGTTCAGCTCTCGATCTGACAACAAACACATCGCTAGCATTGGGCCAAAAGAAACATTTCGGTTGCACTTCAATATTTCTCTACATCGCATTCGTCGTGCGTACGGAATAATTTTTAGTTTGAACCAAACCAGAGAAAAACCGTTTATTTTTACTTTTCGAATTTTTTTTCCTGTGCTGGTTTGTGCGTGCTTTTTTCGTATTTGTGGATGTGGTTTGTATGCATTGTGCAATGTGTTTTTATCATGTTCATTTTCATGTGGTTGGCTGAAAAACTGAACTCAATCGAAAAGAGAAAAAAAATATTTCTCACTTACTCTGTTCCAAACAAGTGACAAATAAATTTGACCAAAAACAACAACAACAACGACGTGAGCAAAGGAGAGAAAAAAACAGTGCGGAAATAAATTGTTTGAACAAAAAACAACCAGAAGGAACGAAAAACCACATTAATTTACGTGTCACATTTTAGTATTTTTGTTTCATTTTTCTCAATTGTTTTTTTCATTGGCGTTTCCCATTCACCGTAGTTGGTGCGAAATGTTTAATCAATCATGGCTTTGATGAATGCCAAATTAATAATAAGCAAATGAAACAATTTTCCATTATTCAATGTTAAGAGACAAGTGAAACAGAGAAGCAGCGCAATAGAGCAAAAAAAAATTGTATTAATATTATACAGTATTATCCAGTGAAGAAAGAGAAAGAGAGCGGAAAAAAAGAAGCGCGTCCGTTGTCACCCGAAACGATGAAGACAATTAAATCAAACGGGTAGAAGCAAACATAGTGACGGAAAAAAATGGTAAATTAGGCGTTTTACATTTTTATTATGGAATGTGCTTTTGCTTTTGTTCGCACTCGAAACTTAGAAAAGTTGAATGAAAAACAGTTAATTTTATCGGCTTAAACTGAAATTTATGCCAACATTGGACGTATGAAGAAACAAAAAAAAATGCGTTGATAAAAAAGTCCAACAAAACAAAGAGCATCAAGAACAACATTAAAAATAACAACAACAAAAAACAGTATCATCACCACTACCACCAGCAACAACAAACACAAATTAATAAATGCTTAACTTTTTCCATTTAAAAGTGGGAGACGTTGTGTGTGTGCGTGTATGGCTGAGCGCAGAGAGAAAAAAAATGTTAAAAGCAATTAAATGACCAACGAATCATAAGCTAGAATCGAGACGAGAAAAAATGCAAAAAGAAGCGTTCATGATGGAAAATGCTGAAGATTATGCACGAAAAGCACAATAACAAAACCATAGAAAAGAGAATGGAATAAAATGTGCTGGCAATATTTATAGCCGAATTAATTCATAATTACTTTTGTACGATATTTTGATAGGAACAGATTATCTGGATACAATTTGTCATGCTAAATTCCAATTGCAATGTATATGAGGTCTCATGTTTTGTCTCGGGTGAATTTTTGCTCTCTACGTATAGTGTGTAGGTGGTGTTTGCGAATTTCACGTTCATTCCGTCGTGGTTATCAGCTGTTATCACATTCAAGTTGTGAGATAACACTAATAAACAGCTTAAGCATTCAATTTTTTATTAATAGCTAGAGACTAACTTCGGAATGCTGCTGTCGCTTTCCCCATGAAGCGAATAATAAATTTAAAAATATATATGTATATATTAACACGACGTGGAATGTGAGCGTATGGGTGTGTGTGCCTGTGCACTCGATATAGACAAAAGAAGCAAATAAAACTATGATAAATTGCATATGGAGGCAAGCTCGGCATGAGACCATCCACAACAATGCGTGCTATATAAAAATCCCACATTCTCCTAAACCAACCAACAACCATCCGACCAATCGAAATAAAAAAACGATTGTATGAAAAAATTGCTCTTCATTTTATTTTATGCATTGTTTTTTATTTAAATTTATTATGAAAAAAAAAGGCGAACACTTTGCGAATGTAAATGCTTTCAGTATAAATATGTTGCTAACTCAGAGAGTTATTCATTCACTGTATTACCGCAATATTATGCAAAGCCAATTCAAGTATTCCGTGAATATTGATTGATTCAAATGAAATATTAATTCATTGAGTTGGGAATCGAACAAGAACCTCAACATGTATGGAAGACAAACACATTGTTCGGAGTCGAAAGGATGTGAGATGATTCTATCTCGTTGGTCGGTTCAAACCCGTTGGTCGGTCCGAGCAACACAAATTGATAAGTGGTTATCATAACTATGACAACTCATCCTCATTCTCATCCACTCCTTCTCCCAATTAAGGAGACTGAAGCGCTTTTGGCTTTTCTTTAAACCATTAAGTCCGCTACAAGTTACAAGTAACACGTAATGAACCCAATGTATCAAATTTCTTCACTTTGTTCTTCTCCTTCTCTTGGCCGTACCGTACATTGCTGTCGTGTCGTTGTTGTCGCGTTGTCGTAGTTATCATCATCGTCTCGTTTTCATTTTGTTTTTATTTTTTTACTTCTTGCCTTTTCTGGTGCGTCCGAGGAAAATAGGCAAGGGGGAAATCACTCAAAAGTAATACCAAATAGAAAAGTAATACCTCAGTTATTTCTAGTAATACCTCTGGTATTACTTTTGATATTTCTATGAAAAAAGTAATACCGAAAAAAAGTAATATCCGAGTAATACCAAGTAATACTGATCAATAGAAGTAATACACCTGGTATTACTTTTGATTTGTACGGAAAGTAATACCAAGTAATACCATTTATGTAAAAGTAATACCTAAGAGTGATTTGCCCCTCGAAAACAGGGCTGAACAAATGTTGACAACAGCCAGCTGTCATATTTTATATGAAAAACAGGGAAAAATCGTAATCCGATAGCAATACATTGCTTCTTATGGAGGCTGAATGGATGGATTTTTGTAAGAGCGCCTCTAGTGAAAATATCTTAGAATGATGGAATATTTCGAACTTTAATACGCTTTTCTCCTAATTTATCCAAACTTACCTCTTAAGTGGTAAATTAAAACCAATAAATATTTACACATCGAAATATCTCGAAAACGGCTGGGAAAATCGGCAAAATGGACCGTGGTGTCACTCCCCAAAGGGAGTGTAGACACCCGGCTGGTTTGATGGCCCAAAGTTCAAATCCGTAGGATTTGAGCTCATCCATGGGTTCTCGGGATTTGGCCTGATCCCAGCGCTTGCCCTGTGGTGAAATTCCATACAAAACATGAGTGTGACTTGTAAAGATGCTCACAGGAAAGGAAAAGCTGGGAATCAGACCAAATCCTGAGAGCCCATGGATGAGCTCAAATCCACGGGATTTGAACTTTGGGCCATCAAACCAGCCGGGTGTCTACACTCCCTTTAGGGAGTGACACCACGGTCCATTTTGCCGATTTTCCCAGCCGTTTTCGAGATATTT